GTCTTGTTCACCAATTCTTATTTTCTCTTTCAGCCTTTTGTGTAATGTATGTGTTGTGATGTTATTGGCAAAAGGGACGCTGGCTGCATGAATTTCTATTCCATTAAACTTCAAAGGCTTATTTGATTAGAGGCAAACTATTGCTGCATGGAAGTAGAACTAATGTTCGGTAAATCACATTAAGGTATGACTGGGGTAGAATGCTTGCTATTCACACATTGTACTTTGTATGAAGTACACTTCTGCGCATCTATTTAGCTTCTGCAATATATTTACCAGGATATCTGCAGGAAGGAGGTGTTTAGGTGGAAAATCTTGTCTTGTCTGCATTGTAATTTTCCATTGGTTAGTCAGACACATAATCACCTGATTATAAGATTTGAAACCAATCAGAATATAGCTTACAGTGATTAATTGCAACATTCTTTAGTCCCAAATACTGTTTTGTTTCTTTCAGAAATGTCAAAATGACATATAGAGATGTGTTTATTTATTTTACATTTGTTACAGTACAATAAACAGGACGGGGTAACAGGATACACGCATGTCCTTTTTCATAACTTTGTTTTGAATGACTGGTAAACAGCCTTAAGGCTAGTTTTTATACAGAAATTACAAACTGTGTAAGACCGGCCTGTAAGGTTTGAACCACTCACACCGGGAAGGAATTCTGCTCTTCTTCATAAGTGCAGTAAGATCTTTAACATGCTCACGGTGTGGCTCTCCTCAAACACGGTACCTCTGGCTTACATCCAGTACAAGGGGACGTCCCTAACCAAAGGTAGATACTCGTTTTCACCTGAGTTGAGCGAGAAAATAGGTGTTTTAAATTTTTTTTTTTCCAAGGACACAACAGTGAAACCTGCCAGAGATTTGAACCTCAAGTCTTTAGATTTTTTAAGTCAACAACCCTAACCACAAGACCACCATTCCACCAACTTGGAATAATACACACATCATAATACAACATCTTTCTGATAGACTTTTTTCAAAATATTTACTACTATTTGCGCCTTAACATCATATTAGCTTCAGTCAGTCTTTTAATGTAAGATGGTCGTTCAGTTAAAGAGTGTGATAATGTTTTATGTAAGGTGCCTTGGTGTGTGTGTTCCATTAATTTACCTAAGTATCCTTTTTACTTCCCATCGTTTCACGTGTTCTGAGAGTTTCTGAATAGAAACCTCCGCAGCCGCTTGAAAGCGACACGTTTTAAGAAGGACCGACAGTTAATATATACGTTTTGTCGTTAGATAAATATCAGCCGCCGCGTTAATTAACTAGCGAATGCCAAAGGCAAGACAAATGGAGGAGTGTTGGTTTGCGGAGAAGACGTATAATTGGAAAGCCCTCCCGCACGTTGGTTGAGGTGTATTATATCTGAAGTTCGCTAATGCTGCAGCCTGTTCTTCGTATTACATGCAAATGAGCGGAGACGTTGTCTAATGCATGCTTGCTTCAGAGTGGAAGACAGGTGATACATTAATACTGTATAGCCTTTACTTCTTCCCAAAACCTTTTATTTAGAAAAAAAATGCTTCTGTGGGTGTCTAATGCAGGTTCAACCTTTCCTAAGGTTTCATGATTTAAAGCCTTCTAAACTACATGTAGGGATTTTTTGTATTATATGCAAATATGCGGATATATTGTTGAATGCGTGCTTGCTTTAGGGTGGACGTTATATATCCTTTGCTTCATCCAAAAATGTTTTATTGAGAAAACAATGCACCTTTTTGACTTCTAAATGGGTTTCTAATGCAGACTCAACATATTTTTCATAGCCTAAGGATTGTGATTTAAAGCTTTCGATGGATTCTTGTATTACATGCAAATGAGCAGAGACATTGTTTAATGTTTGCTTGCTTTAGGGTGGGCGTTAAATATTGTATATTATCCTTTATTTCCATCTTCACAAAATCTTTCTCTTGACTCCTAGATGGGTTTCTAATGCAGACTCAACTTTTTTATTGCCCAAAGTGTTGTTAGAACCTTTAAAGGATGGCAAAGTTTTTGTTGTAACTAATATGTAAGGGCTACATGACTGTACATGGTAAGAATACAAAATGTATCTAACTTTTGAAAATTAACGCTACAAGAAGGCAAAATCATTGTTAACCTTATGAAAAATTAGTTGTTTGACGTAGTTGGCCATATTTCTGACACATGATATTTGGCACTGATGAAAATTCATATTTTTTCATCATTCCCACACATTTTCATGCAAGAAATCTGAACTATCATTTTCCCGTCCTAGTTTTGTGTTTAATATACATGCAGCAGTACTCTAAAGTTACAAAATGTACACTACATGTATGTTATGGTATGACCTTTACGGTTCCTTACAGTTGAATGGTAAAACATCTATTTACATGACATGTACACAATAAGGTAATAAAAATTTTATGGCATATACAGTTGTGAAGATAATAGTCTCTATACTATAATTTATTATATTCTCAACTATAATTGTGCATAAGATTTCGGTAAAAGCACTCAATGCAATAAGAGAGTCTTAAGGGATATCATATTTACCTTATGAATGCATATTTGGAAGGAAATCATAATTATTTGTTGACATTTATGATATGCCTTAGACAGCCCTATTGAATATGCTTTTAGAGATTTTGTTTACTTACTTGACTGTACTATGATTGCAATAAGTCACATGCGGATTTGGTGGAGGTAGAATGAATACCATTGAACTCTGACATTACAGAAAGGTAGATTAATTTTAAATTTTGTTCATCTAATAATGTCAGGAAGTGACAAAGACATAATGTAATTGTTTTAGTCATGTGCATCAAATGACTTGTTGTTTTGCTTTTTTAATGTATACAGATTATAAACATACCAAAACTGACGTTGTCAAAAATATCTTTAAGTTTATTCCTATTAATTTTGGAATGTATTTTTATTTAGAGGGTGCATGTACATGACATTGTACATTGTACTTGAGTGGTTGCTAGAGTACAGAGTTAATGCTTTTTCATGTTCACATGACTAGTGGGTCCTATATTGTGAAATAGTAAGTTTTTTTTACTTCCTAGAACTATCTATTGCCAGTATGGTAAAATAAGACTCATTTCCATACTTGCTCATTTATATTGTGTAATACCATTAAAATTTGTTACCTAATTACTGTACTAGTTTATTTAGAGTTTATTGTAAGACTTTTCTATACCCGAAAGAAGCAAAATTATTTTGACATAGTACGTCCATGAAAGTTAGACATCCAGGTAATGAGATACACAAGATAACTGTTAGTAATACTTACTAGGCAAATGGATAGATTTTGAAAACTGTTGAAAACAGACGGTTTAAGTAGAATCGAGTAGTAATACTTTTCGTCAGTGAGTAACGGAATCTGTAGTTGAATGCTCAGTTATTCATCCGAAAACTATGTGCAAAGTTTTCGAAGTCACCACGGGTGAAACTCAGCAGGAAAGCTTGGAATCGTCTCCCTTTTTGTTATTTCTCACTTTGCAACCCCGACAAAGACATCATCCAGCCAATTTCCTCTTGTTTGGTCGAAGCACTTTTATCAGGGGGAGTTTGTGGTGAAGACGTCACAGTTCCCGGGGACTCTCGGCGTCTTTAATACTTTCGATTTAAGATTCCTGAACAGACTGCATTAGGCCCAATTTGCCCCGCACATATCTGTGTTCAGTAATTCCTTCTACGCTGCACCTCTAATGACGGCTAACAAGTCCAGTGTAGTGGAAGGTGGCAATAATTGGTCATTTTGTGGCTGTCTGATTTTCTACACTGAAGTTTGATTTGGTTTACGTATTATTTATAGTCAGAATTAGCAGTTCTGTATCCTTCCCTACGTGGCATTTGGCTGTCAACAATATGTATATGGTAAAAAACTATCAATGATGCTTTTTGAATTATTCATATCAATATCTTCAGACGTACTGCTGAGATTTGAGAAGAAATTGATGGATGCATGGATTCTATGGAAGATTTTAGTGTTACAGATGCCTCAGTACCTGATATTTCTAGATATAGTTTTGCCTGGACTTGACAAATTTGCAGCATGGCTAAACACAGAACATATTCACAGACACTACCTTACTAACATAAAATGTCTTTTTATACAAGTAAGGTTTGGCCACATTCATGATGTGTGTCATTCAGCAGCATAAAAATACTGTACATATTTTCCAGTAGGACGTATATTATTTTCAGTATCCAGTCCAGTTTGGCTGGCCGTTAATATGTATTGATAGTCAACAACCACTAGGTTGAAAGGTTGTTTTTTTGTCAACACAATCTTTAAAGACCTAATTTTTATTTTGCAGACTAAACTGGCAAAAGGGAGGAAATAGAAAAAAGATTGGAGTAATGCCCCGTCATATTACCCACTCCAGGCCACCAGTTTGATTGATAAATAGTTTACTTAATAAAAAAGCAATAAAAACAACATTTTGTTTCCGAATCGAAAATGCACATCTGTCGTTGTGAAGAATGGCCCAGCCATTTACATTTAGCCTCATCACCACCCACCCATCCCAAATACATTTATGATGCTGAATTGAATGAAATAGCAATCTTAAAATAGATCTAGGGGACCATTATTCTCGGTCCCTTCGGACCTTTCCATTGCGAGATAGAAATTGGCACGGTACCCTAACTCATCGTTCACCGCCCTGCAATTATGCCGCATCCTCTATTTGCTCGCAACTGTGTGGGCATTTTTGTCGTGGAAAAGTCAACCGAAAAGCAAGAAAACCCCTTCGGGTATCAATATTTCTTCTGCAAGCATTTCCTACTCTACAGAATTGGTGGGGAAACATTGGACATGTCTAAACAACCCTGCCATTAGAGATATTGCAAATCTGTCATTGATGTATCATGTAGCCCTTTGCTCAAGTCCGGTAGAATGCATATAGCAGAGCTCTACTGATGAACACTGCAGGGTTATTTGCTGCTGAGCTACTCCTCGGTGACACTATCTTGTTCCGGTTAATTTTGTCCATAACACAAAGTCTCCTTACCTTCTGTCCTGGGCTGAAATTAACTGCAGCGAGGGTACAATCCCTGAAGGTAGTATTTAGGGTGATTAAAACGTACACGGGCATGTACTGTCTGCCTACAACGCACCCTCTCGATAGCACAGACACCGGGAATCCTTCGTGTAGGGCTTCGTCACACGTGTCAAATGCGCATAGCATTGATACTCAGCCCCTGGCGCTGTGGCGTTTGCGTCCAATAATGAACACTCCCTCATCCTTATTACACACTAACGACATTACCTAGCCGTATGGTGGTTGGCCAGCTCGGGGGACGCTTGAAAGTCTTCCCGAGTGCACGGGGCGTTTGGTCATCAGCTGCCTCCCCCTTGTGGAGATAGCGCAAATTTGTTATCCCGAGAGTGGGCTACAGCACGGGGAGTACAGAAACACACCTTTGGAAGCACGGTACGAGGGATGGCCGGCCGTTAGGAGCCGGTTAAGTCGAGCGGGTGCCAAGAATGAATTGTCTGGGATAGAACGTGTCTCCGTGTCTGCGCGGGGTCACCATGTGCAGCGGGAGATAACTCGGCGCACTTGTCCGGCCTAGTGCGGCGAACAGGTCTGCCTGAGCCAGATTGAGCAGGAACATGTTTTGGATACAAATGGACTCCGCTCCGGCAAAATGAGATGCTCCTGCGTCACGACTTCCGTCTGCAACTGCTGGACCATGTGGGCTGTAATCCCATAATTTTTCCGGCCACCTTGGAATGTATCACGTTAAGAAAACGGGGTGCTAAGCTCAAACCTCAAAGAAAAATGACAAGCTGTGTTCCTTTCCAACTTTGCAGGCATTATTATTCATCAGAATGTATAGACTGTTAAATGACGCCTGTACACATAACATATTTCTAGCAATCAAATCATACGGCAGAAAGCTGTTAGGGGAGATAACTGATTGCCTATAAACATAGTGACCCCCAATTGTTTCCATTGCAAGTCGGGGCATTAAAATTTGGTGCAATCGCTGGAACCAAGCTGTGTAGGTATGATACAGACTGAAAAATGTGCCGAAATGTACGTACAAATTTGTGCGAACCACCCAATGACAGGCACAGTCATAATATTTACAGCATTTTGCCTCAGTTTGTGTACACACAAATAGACGTGACAGCTTTTTATATTAAATCCGGGGCTTATTTACATTAGATGTATAGCCGCGATGTTTACATAATACAGCGTCAAAGAGGATTTTTAATATTAGGTTCATTTAGTAAACATGAAATGCAAAGCAAATTATCCGGAGTGTTTATTGTGTACGTGAAGCCTTTGAAAATTGGTGTTGTGGAAGGACATTAATATACACCACGTCAGATTAATAACCTGACGGGGATTTGTTGCTGCGATACTCGTAGGTTAAAGAGGAAATTATATCAGATATGGCCGACATGCCTGGCTTGCTACTTTGTGCGATGTTTCATCTGCGAATCGGAAACGCAAAATGAGATCATCCCGCGATGTTCCACTTGGGTGAGAAGGAATTGTGTCTGTGCCCTTGTCAGTTTTGTCTTTGTCTTTCGGAGAGCTACACTGGTCTGATGAGGAATACTGATAGAGTGGAGCCACAGTTCATGTCAGGAGTGAGCTGGTGTGTAATAGCTTGTCAGGTGGCTACTACTGCGGTAGTACTGCCTGCATGCCAGATGAGGTGGTAAACTTTGGAGTGTGGAGATGTGGGAGGGGGGCAACATCATTCAGCTGAAAATTCAAACTATGCTTCTTCTTAAATAGTTCTATTACTGTACTGGCAGTAACTGTGGTAGTACTGCCTGCATGCCAGATGAGGCAGGAACTCTGGTAAACTTTAGAGTGTGGAGATGAGGGAGGGGGCTACAACATCATTCAGCTCACTTCTAACACTATGAAATTTCATAGTGTCAGTGCAGTAATAGAATTATAAGAAGAAGTATATAATTCTATTACTGCACTCAACTGGCAGTAACTGTGGTAGTACTGCTTGCATACCCGATGAGGCAGGAACTCTGGTAAACTTTGGAGTGTGGAGATGAGGGAGGGGGCAACATCATTCAGCTCACTTCTACTATGAAAATTCAAACTATGCTTCTATTACTGTACTGGCAGTAACTGTGGTAGTACTGCCTGCATGCCAGATGAGGCAGTAACTCTGGTAAACTTTGGAGTGTGGAGATGGGGGAGGGGGGCAACATCATTCAGCTCACTTCTAACACATGAAAATTCAAACTATGCTTCTTCTTAAATAGTTCTATTACTGTACTGGCAGTAACTGTGGTAGTACTGCCTGCATGCCAGATGAGGCAGTAACTCTGGTAAACTTTGGAGTGTGGAGATGGGGGAGGGGGGCAACATCATTCAGCTCACTTCTGTGAAAATTCAAACTATGCTTCTTCTTAAATAGTTCTATTACTGTACTGGCAGTAACTGTGGTAGTACTGCCTGCATGCCAGATGAGGCAGTAACGCTGGTAAACTTTGGAGTGTGGAGATGGGGGAGGGGGGCTACATAATTATGAAAATTCAAATTGTCCTGCTAATATTCATCCAGTAGTAAAGTTTGAATTGTCTTCGGATTACTTTTCTGAATTACATGTACCCCGGTATTACCTTTGTATGCATACAGATGCTTTGTTTTTGTTGTATCTGTTTGTGTTACTGTAGTTCCACATACTGCACACTGGCAAGAAGTTAGGTCAAAGGTCCAAAAGGACCCCAGAAAAGGTTATCTCATTTCCTGTTTTCTGTTCAGTTTTCTGCTACTTGAATATCTGTTGCCTTATAGGAGCCAGTGGTAAAGTTCATACTTATTTTATTAGACAGAATCAGCAAAAAATTTGCCATTAATGAATAAACAAACTTAAAGGAGTTCACAAAAAACAGCATATTTCACGGAGGTATGACATCCATGATTTCCTTGTCACTTCATGAATATGCCATTAAGGAAAAACCAAGCAAAGTCATAATTGGGATAGAGAGACTAGGCTGGGACTTATCCGCTTCAATCAAGCATACATCATTGTGAATGATTCAACAAGTGGCATTCAGATAATAGGTTATGGAGGGCCTCATTATCACTTATATTACTCTGCTACCCTGTACCAAAGTGGGGCGTAATCCGTTCAGTGGCCGGGCAGCGCGCTGCCATACATGGTAACAATCTACCGCTGCAAAGGGCGCGGAGGCTTGTCTGTTTCATGTTTCGATATGAATTGGCTGTAGATGCTGGAGTGTTATATGTCAGATGTAATGGTTTGTAGTAATGTCATCTCGGGTCTTCCCTTTAATATAAGTTCACAACAATAATTTGAGTCGTTGGTTTTTGGACTTTTGTAGGAAATTACGGAAGCAAAGAGGAGAAAAATAGACATGAAATAGATTCTGTGAATGCCTTGAATGCTACCATAGAAGCCACAAAGTCAACATACCAGGCTAGGCTATCATTTGAACACTGAATTTTGAACTTTTCATCCTATCAGTGCATTAATAAATAGAGAAACTGTATCAACTAGGAAGACAAAGACTTCTTAAACTGTTGAGGCCAAAATTTAAGCATTTTGGGTTTGATTTAGGACCTAAATGGTACATGTAACATTGTGTTTATTTTCTTTTGACAAATCAAAAGATAGTAAAGTGGGCACATTCAAGAAACAAAATATTTGTGTGATGCAATTGATTGCTGGAATGGCCAAGTGTGTAGAGTGTTCGCCCTGCATTTGGTAGGTCAGGACTTACATCCCCGGCCGAAATATACCGCAAGTCTTTCAAAAGGTATGTGTACTCCATTCTCAGCTTAGCACTCAGCATTTGGGACAGAGTATTGGAGTTCAACACACACCACTACTAGCTGACTAACCTTCTTCTGTAGTGATTGCACTACTGTGTGGCCCAAGGGCTGTTGAGATAGGTGCTGCCCTATGCACCACATGATGCAGGAAGGACTTCAACTAAACATGAAGCTACCCTGGTATGGGAAACAGATTGTGGTTGGAATAGGGGACAAAAATTCAGGAAACGTCCAAAGTCTGACATCCTGACTCCCACAATTACCTATTTCTTGGATCCTGTCCTACCAAATTATAGGATGTGAAGAAGCCTACTGCAAATCTTGTTGCCTGTACATTTATTGCCAGTGACTAGATTACACTTCTAGCGCCCATTCCATCGGTCAGGCCCTTAGAAGCTTGGTGGCAAAAAGTCAGGAAAATTGGGAATTTCTTAATCCTATTGTTTTATGCAGTATGATACATTTACATGTACAATGTATGTGCTATCATGAACCAGTTATTGTTGAGCTGAGAACTTTTTTTTACCATAGAGTGTTTGAGGCTGTGATGACTGGTTTCCATGGTGATAGAGGATCCTGAGCTCCTATTGGACAGATTTTTGTAGTGATGTAGAACCCTGAGCTCCTATTGGTAGTTCTGGGAATGGGAATATGATTTTCTAACTTAAGTTTTATTATTAAACACAGTTGTATATTTTGCTACAAGCTCATTGGAAGGAGGCCTAATTTAATCAGCCCCTGACAGTGACAGATTTGTTACACAAGAATATCTTTAGTTCTCAAGAAGCACCTAACACCTCAAATAGTGCTTGAAAATGGTCATTTCCAGAAGAGTACATTTGTAAGTGCCAGGACTTGCTAACGACACTTAAGCAAACAATGTGGATAAGAATGTGTGTTGAACGTGTTGGGACTAAGAATCCTGTGGTCTAATGATGTATCTTACCTGCGGTGGCAAGTTAAGCCATGTACATTTGTAAGCTTATTGTATTTCCATTCTTATCAGACTATTACCTGAGAATGGCAGGAAAGTCCTTGAAACAGTAGTTACCGCAAGAATACATTTGTACAGTTGCCAGCTTGAAGATTTACCATAATAACCACTGTAGAGAACTCATGATGCCTTAAAGTCTTTACACCTTAATATATTATTAGGGCAGGCGTCAACATTACCTTTATTCACCCATTGTCTTGATGTTTGTTTTAGAAATAACGCTGAGAAAACACCACTTTGCTTGATTTTTTTTAAATATGTAGATGCATATACACTGTAAGCTACCTTATGATTTGAAGTGTGCATATGCAGTTTATATGCATATATAATTGTGAGGAATATACTTTGTATCATTTCAAAGTTGGAAGCCAAAATCAGATTCTATACAACATAGTTACAAGTTATCATTTTTTTAATCTTTGGGGAAGACTGCTAACATGCTTTTGCAACTTGCAAGGGACCGAAGCTATTCTCCAATGCTTTTTTATCTCGGCCGCCTGAAGCGGCCGAGATATTGTGCTCCAAAATATGTACGTTGAATGGTTGGATAAATCTTGATTTCGACCGTGAAAAAAAAACCCAATGAAACCAATTACTCTGCATGTATACTTTACTTTGTGGTGTCGACCTACCGGATGATAGTGTCGTTATTCTGATACAACGAAGTTGCTAAAAAAGAGGAAATGCTGTTTACCACAAAACCATTGTTTTATATCATAGTATGCATTTAATGTTCTAGAATTTCGCTAATAGCTGCTGTAATTGGACCAATAAATCAATGACATAAATTATGTACATTAACCTTCCATATTTGCTTCAGTCGCAAGATGTCGCTTTTGATTGGTGAATAAATCACTGTGACGCAAGTAAATATTCACTTGAAATGAGAAATTACCGCCCAACAAAACGGACCATTAGATTCCCAGTGCTGTATTACTCTTTTGTTCTTGTGGTCAACTTGTTTTCTTTGCTTGAATCGCGTAAAAGACCAAGGAAAATACAATGAAATCGGCAATCGCCGAGCCGCGCCCCGATCTGCCGCCGCCATCTTGGATTTTTTTGGAAAGCTGCAATTTGGCCCAAACCGCTAGAGGGGGCGAATTAAAATGTTTAATATATTCGGTGTGAAGTTTTAGTACCTCTAGCAGTAGAGGAGAAGTTTGATAATGCATAGAACG